AAAACTGTAGGTTTTCAAACAGCAGCATAAAAGCAAGACTGGCAGCCAACAGAACAGAACTAAGAATAGGGCTTCCGAGATTTCCAGTATGTTTTTTTTTGAGAATGCTTTACTTCGCTCAGCAAAAATAACAGCAGAGTTATAGATCTTGAGCAGAAAAACGGCCAAAATTTATCAACATCTGTAGAAAATAGTATGGATTTACACACAAGTAGCCAATAAATTTCTAACAGATTATTTCTCTAAACATCATTTTCTCACCTCTTTGACATGAGCATCATCAAAGTACATCCACTTGCGGATTTTAGTTTGGAAGAAGAAGGTAGAATAGTGTTTTCCATAGTAACAGATCATTCCCACCAAATAAAGCTCTGAGTGTTTTGCTCTGTCATCAGTTACTCTGAAGAAGAGCTTCAAGAAGGCAGATAAGAAAAATGAAAGGAGAAATTAATAAAACGTCCAGAATTTTACATACTGCTTTATGTTTGAAAACCTCGAAGTACTATAGAGAGGTGTCAGATTTTTGCTTCAAGATATAGAGAAAACAAGGCAATAAATACTCAAATAATTAACCAATGTTTAAGCAAATCTAGTGACATAGACCAGGAACGGACTCCTACCAACTCAGCAGATGCTCAAGAATCAAGTAAGTCTTAAAGACTATGGCTGTACTTTAAGGAAGACATTTACAATGATATAATATCTTTTCAGAATTTTAAGTGTGGTTCTAGTCTGAAAATCTGTATTCTCTCTGTCATGCTTGCTGATTACATCTAATACTGTTTAAAATATTCATTCCTCTCTGCTTTGTGGAAACAAAGTAGTTCTGACAGTCAACAGCTGGCATTTATTCTGACTTGAGCAAAGACAAATTTATGACACCACCACATAAAAGATGAACTGAAGACGTGAGTAGGCCAAAAGAATTCAGCACAGAAAAAATTGTTTTCTGACTACTTAATTGACCATGTTTTATTTAAAAATGCACAGGACTCATTTTTTTTAGTGTATTACTGCAAGGACCACACTGTTTCATAACCACATTTCCATTAATTTGCACTATTTTTAGTACACTATGAACTGGCCAATGCATTTTTTTAATATGTGTATATATTTTTAAAAATTATTATTATTTTAATGGAATACTGCAATGCTACAATAAGACACAGTTACAACTCAGTATATCAATAATTCAGCTCTAAAGCATCAGCTAATGTAGAATAAGTGAATCCTCTAGGGGACAAACCTCCGGATCCCAAACACTACTTAAATTAATCTATCATTCAATCACACAGTGCCAGTTACCATCTCACAGAGACTGCTCAGTTACAAATAACATACTTCAATGAAATGAAGATTTAAAGAAGTTTTAGGAAAAAAAAACACAACAAACCCCAAACTAAATCTTATCTTCAGAAGAAAGAGAAATAAATTTATGTACTTCAAAATGAAATATTATATATGCATTTTCACAGAAATAGTCCAAATGGCAATCCAAAATCTCCTTGGACTTGAAAATATTTTCATTCAGACAAGCTTTATTTTCTGGAGTAATTTTTGATTTTCAGTCATTTCAGATATTTGAGAATATGCAATTACACTAGTACTTTCACTTGTAAGGCACTCAGAAACAGGTCAGATCCTTGGATCTGCCCTCTATTCCTCTGTTTATGGACACTGAAAAGACAAAAGTGGCGACTTTTTATTTTTCTCAGTCTGCTACTATAGACTACCATGAGAAAGACTCTGTTTCCAGGTAGTGTCCAGGTAGTGTCAAAATACAAAAAACAACTCACATCTCCCAGTTTAAGGCAAGTGCCTAGGCTGTGAATCACATCCTCAGCCAGGTCAGAGTGGTCTGAGTCCCAAACCAAGCCAATGGTGATGATCTGTGGAGAGTTCATCAGCACACGACGAATACGGATCTTTTCCCCACAATTACTCTGAGGATTTAAATCAAACAAAACATTGACTATAACCCTTCTCTTAATATAATGTTAGGGCAAGACACTAACACGTATAAGTTTCAAAAGTGCAGTTTCCAAACAGTTAGAGGTGAAACACAGCAGATATCATATGCTCAGTGTCAAGATATGAGCTTCTAATGTCACAGCTGAGGAGTGTTACCAAGACTATCGGTATTTGCACTGCTGATTCTTCTTCATATGATTAAAAGTTATAGCATAAAAGTAGCCTTATTCGAAAAAAGATAAGCAAGCATACACAAAAGATCCGAAAAACATTCTTCGGAACTGGAGGGAAATCTCACTTTCTATTCCCAAATGGAAAAAGAAAGGGGCAGCAAGTACTGGTAAACAGTTTTATCCAACTGATTATTTCAGTTGAATAGCAGTTCACCCTGACAAAGAATGTCTTTCTATTAAATTTCCCATGCTTTGGTTATTAAATAGCTAGACTCATATGAATCAATACAGTATCTTCATTTCTTTTACACAGATAAGTGAGCCACTTTGTCAATATTAAAAAAAAAGTAAATATGTTTTGATGGAGACTAAAAAGTGAATGTTTTGGAGTTATAAGCTACAGAAAGCTGGGAAGATAAAATGGAAATACTTGCACTGCCCACAGCGAACAGGCACACAAGCCATTCCTGTTAGAGCCTGTGTTCTTCGCTGAGGACTAGTGAGGCATCTAGCAGTAGCATAACCTGAAGCAGCAATTATGCAGCTGTTTCCTACCTATTAATCAATATGTAAAAAGGTTTGGTGATAACTATTCTTGCATACTTATCTGAAAGTCCAGATCTCAACATATTCAAATTAAAAGGTAGAACAAAATATCAAACTTTTGCTTTAGAAATCAAGTCCTTTTGATTTAAAAAAAAAAAATTATATTTACATGAAAAATTTTACTTTTCTTAGCCCAGTTGATACAGGGACTTAATTCAGCTGAATTTTGTCAAGACTTTTACTGCATAGCAGAATAGAACATTTTTAAGAATAGCAGCCTGTGACTATCAACTGGACATATGCAGTAATTGTCTTTAAGTGGTTAAACATCAGTCATCACTCACAACAACTACAGCCTATGCTTTCTGGTCAATATCTTCCACACTCTGAACAGCAAACCTCACTCAAAAACAAACCAATACTCCCTCAAATTTTATGTGATGATTCCTGCCTTTGGCATAGCTCTTGCCGATACACTGTGTAGCCTATAAGCCCTTCACGGTCAGGATATTCTCTGGCAGTGGGAAACGGCAGTCCTATTTCTCTGACCAATATTTCGGCTGTATGATGTAGGTACAGCAGTTTGGTCAACAGTTTAATTTACTGCAACTGAAAGGTACTAATGAAGTTGAATGAAGGCTTATCTAGGCAAAACAACCGATCTTGTACCCATGATTACAGTGACTGGTAAAAAAGTCCTGCTATCTGTGCCATAGCATGGTACTGTTCAAAAGATTTTACAAGAAATAAGTTATTCTTTTCTCATGCTATTATTACAGATGAAGCATACTACCTTCAACAGAAATAATCACCAGAGAAACTGGACGAACTGTGGGAACACTGTTCCAAAAAGACTAGTTAATCAAAACCACTGTCGACATGCAGAAGTCTCCTATAAAAAGATACAGTCTCCAAATTCTTTGTCTTTTCCATTTCTTTACGTTAAGATCCCAGAATCTTCATCATAGGATGAGAACAGCATGATTGCAGCTTCATGTAACGCTACTGTTGGAGGTTTCACCAACTCTCAGTCAAGTTGAGCAGCAAACATGATAGGTTCTTCTAGCAGCAACATAGGCTTTTACA